ACTACTCGGTATAAACGAAATGTTTGTTGGCATAAAGCCCTAAATAGAGAAACTTATTGACTATTCGGTATAAACGAAATGTTTGTTGGCATAAAGCCCTAAATAGAGAAACTTATTGACTACTCGGTATAAACGAAATGTTTGTTGGCATAAAGCCCTAAATAGAGAAACTTATTGACTACTCGGTATAAACAAAATAAGGAGGCGTATAGCCTGTAGCGGTGTCCGGAAAAGATTTACAAATTACCCGGTATAACTTAGAGATACGGTGTACGGAGGCGTATAGCCTATGGCAGGAAGAAACCGGAAACCGGGAAACCCGGCGTAATGACGAGAAACCCGTCACCCGGTGTATAGCAGGAAGAGACCGGAAACCGGGAAACCCGGCGTAACAACGAGAAACCCGTTGCCCGGCGTGTAACAGGAAGAGACCGGAAACCGGGAAACCCGGCGTAACAACGAGAAACCCGTTGCCCGGCGTGTAACAGGAAGAGACCGGAAACCGGGAAACCCGGCGTAACAACGAGAAACCCGTTGCCCGGCGTGTAACAGGAAGAGACCGGAAACCGGGAAACCCGGCGTAACAACGAGAAACCCGTTGCCCGGCGTGTAACAGGAAGAGACCGGAAACCGGGAAACCCGGCGTAACAACGAGAAACCCGTTGCCCGGCGTGTAACAGGAAGAGACCGGAAACCGGGAAACCCGGCGTAACAACGAGAAACCCGTTGCCCGATACTAAAGGTAGGAGGCCAGAAACCGGGAAACCCGGCGTAACAACGAGAAGCCCGTTGCCTGGCTAGGAGGTCTGGAGCAGGACTGGTGCCGGCTCATCCGTCGAGCCGGCTTATATACCCTGCCGGCGGTTCCCCCACTCTACCTCGAGGCTGTGGTGGGGGTAACGCCGGCGTCGTAGTGGGGCGCCTCTGGGGTTGTAGTGGGGCGCCCCTGGGGTAGGGTGACCCGTGTATCAGTTATGATTTTGTGCTTAGGGGCGCCTTAGGCGCCATAGCCTCAAGTGGCGGGCGGGTGATCGGCCCGCGAGGCGTTAGTAACGGCTACGCCGTTACAGCTTTTGTCATTATAACTTAAGCAATTATACTCTTAAGATTACTATATTATACATTATTGTATTATAATTATAAATTAAGCCAGTGAAATGAAATATTAACAAAATCACCTTTTCTTTTACATAGAATTTGTAGTAACATCCATTAGTTACAAAGACTAATGGTAAAAATTATTGGGAAATATCAAAAAGAACCTTTTCTAACATTGTTCTGAAGAATGTATATTTTGTATACTCATATATATAATTTTCATGCCTATATAAAAATCCAAATATCGTTGTAACTTTATTAATATCTTAAAATTAAATGCATTTAATTAAATATTTGCATATAATCTATATAAATCTATATAATAAATAAAATGTGTAATAAATTATCGAATGATTTATTTAAATATTTGCATATAATCTATGTAAATAAAATATGTACAAATAAAATAATATTTATGCAAATATTATTTTATTTGTGTACATATTTTATTTATATACCCAAACAACACCAAGTCCAAAATTGGCGCGTAAGATATCTTTATAAGATGTCTTTTTGATATCATATCATAAGATAGCTGTCTTAAAGATTTCTTAATGCTATCTTATGCGTCAATTTTAGACTTGGTGCTGTCTGGGTAGATAATATGCAAATTAATATGTTTATATATATGCACACACATAGATATGACAATAGCGTTATCGTGATTTTTTTCGATTATTAAAGTTATATTGTATAATCTCTCTCTTATCTCTTTCTCTCTGCTACATAAATACTATTATAACGTAAAAGAACTTACGAGTAACGTATGATGGCTCAATGCAATAATATTCAATCACGTAAAAAACTTGAGTTCAAATATATCAATATCAATTTTTTTACAATATATTAGAATATAGAAAAATTATAGAAGTATAAGGCGATAAACTTGAAAATTTTTAAATATTGAAAATATTTTAATCATTTTTACAATTACATACACTATATATATATATATATATATATATATATATATATATATAAATGCAAAATAAGTCCGTAAATAAATTTATCAAGTAATAAATCCGTTGCATGCTTGCAGCTACATATGCACACACAAATAGCTGGTATGTTGATTTTTATTAAAAATTTATTTTCTGTATTATTTTGCATTTATATAGTGTGTATGTGGGTGTGTGTGTGTGTGTGTGTGTGTGTGTGTGCGCGCGCGCGCGTGTAGTAAAAATATTTTCAATATATTTATAAAATTTTTATTGCCGAAATATATTTTTTTATCATTTCTCTGTATTCCAATAATTATTAAAAAATTGATATTGATATATTTGAACTCTAATAATTTACTGGGTGATACATACTGAACATCCTTTGCATTATCAATATTACTCGACATAAGTTCTTTTATGTTATAAGTATTTATAGAGCAAATTATACAATAATATCAATAATAGAAAAGAAATCAAGAATAACCAACGCATATTCGTCAATCTATGATTGCTATACAAGCTAATAATAATTTATATATTCGTTCTCTTATTCTTGTCTCTCGAAAAAGTATAAGCAATAAATTATCAAATCTAACAAGTACCCGTGTCTAACATTGTAGACTAATTTACTTTCAATTATGCTACTGTTATTATTTATCATTAGACAATTATAAAACATATATATATATATATAGCACTACAAATTATATATGTATATGTTTTATAATTTATTTTATATTTTATTATTTGACAAGTTAAATCTCTCCGAATCATAATTTGCGCTTACATCTTAAAGATGAAATGCTGTAACTCTCTGATATTCCAATCTGTATTTTTGAAAAGGACCACATCCCGTATGGTCGAAATGTTAAAATAAATATATATACAACTTTAATTTGAGGCCAGTGTAGTCAGACCAAATCTATAACCTCTGTTTTATAATTGTCTAATGATAAATAATAACAGTAGCATATATAATTGAGAGTAAATTAGTATATTTTATATATATATATATTTATATATAAATAATATATCCACATATGTGCATAAGCATATATAAAATTTACAAAAATGGGTGCTTATTAGTCTTGCTACGTTACTGCTTTCTGCTACGGAAGGCCAGAAAGCATTTTTAGGCGGCATCTCGCGTATACCGGCACGGTAGAGGAACAAGGAGAACACGTGATTATCGGTCCTTGTCTTTCTTACGTGCGTCCGCGTGAGCGATGCAGTGGTGTATGTACGTGTACAGACATACACCACTACATAAAACCCGAGGATTGATTTCTCGGCGTTGGCAACACTGAAACCGGAGTTTCGCGTTGTCACCGCACGAGGTCTCCAATATCAATTCGGAGTTTGCCTGGGTGTACTGCCGACCCTTAATTGGACAAATTTTATATTTTTTATTTTTTATAACTGCTATCGTTTGGGAATTATTTGGGCAAATTTAGGAATATGTTTGCATAATTTAGAAACTAGTTTATTTATAATTAGAGACAATTAATTGAGAGCAAATAGTTAGCAGACATAACTTAAAATAAATTTTTTTTTGTTCTAATTAATATTAAATTATTTAGGAAATGTGTCTATAATGTTTTCAACATTTGGGAAATAAAAGTTTACTTTATAATAATTTCAGCTCCGAGAACTTAGACGCTCTTCGACTTTAAAAAATTTTTTAAAAAATTTATAATAAAATTTTACTTACATAAAATTAATTCCCAAGTAGCAAATTAATGTCAAAATGACGCATGTAGACTTAATATAATAATTATAATAATATATGTAATAATAATTACAATAATAATAAATCATAAAAGATGTACAAATTGTTGATAGACTAATATTTTACATTAATACATATAATTATGAATTAATTCTTACATATCTTATATAAATTCTTATACATATATATAATTTTTAAATTTTATATGGCACAAATAGAAAAAAAATATATATTTCTCAAAGATTTTATTCTTTTTTTTTCATTAAAAAAGTGGTTATTATAAACTTTCTGCAACACATGTGCAAAAACATTTTTTTAAACTTATACCAACAAACAAAAAAATGCAATTACAATTTATATTCAAATTTATTACTTCTAATTAATAATAAATAAATCAGTAATCAATAAAAAATGATGTACATAAACTAAAAAGTACATAGCTATTGCAAAAAACTATTTTTATAAATTTTATTATATTTTTAATTTTGGTGGATATAGCTTTCATAATTAAAAAGTTTTAAAAATAATCGCTATAAAAATATAACTTACTTTTTAAATTACATTTAATTATTGCTATATACAAAGTGTCCCATAATTCGCGAACCATCGCGAATGGACAGATAGAGCGTGTTAAACTGAATAGAAAAGTCCTGTATCATTTTGCGATATTCGCAATAATTATTGAGTTATTAACTAAAATATCTAAACGAATGAGCGGGTAGAAAGCGGTAGGCCGGACTCGGTGTGCATGTCGGATGACTTATTTGTTATATGCCGCTTAGTATCAAACGTATCATCTTACTTTTCGGCGCCACTACATTGGTCGCCGCTCGCTGTATGACGCCGCCTCTCGATCAAATAATGCTTTCTACCTGCTTATTCGTTTAGATATTTTAATAAATAACTCAATAATTATTGCGAATATCGCAAAATGATACAGGACTTTTCTATTCAGTTTAACACGCTCTATCTGCCCATTCGCGGTGGTTCGCGAATTATGGGACACCCTGTATATATAGTCGCTTTTACTTCTAATAATAATAATAAAAAAATATTAATATATACATACATATATATATATATATATATATAAAATTAACACTTTCTAAATTCTTACTATTCTACTAGTACACGAAAAAAATGTTTTAATTATATGTACAATAATATATTTATTCTATTCAAGAAATGATCAAGTGGTTTAATTAATGTATATTGAGAAAGCAGCCCAGAAAAAGTTTTAAGGAAATATTAAGAAAAGTTAAAAATGTTTACAATAGCATATGAAATAGATGTGTTGAGAATAGGATATTTGACTACTTAAATAAATTAAATTAAAAATATATAGTATACATACATTTAGATTTCTATTCGTATTCATAGCTATTACAAAATTCATCTTCAGATGCGTGAGATTCAAGTATTTGTCCAAGTGATATTTCAGTAGGATCAGGTTCTTCTTCATCAAAGTAATCATCATTATCGTAAGCTATAACAGAGAGAAAAATGAAAAAATAATAAAATTTATTAATACCTAAGCAAGATATAGAAAAAAGATTACACAAACCGTTTTCGGACGTGTCTGCTGTAACTTCAACTGAATTAATTTCTTCTTTTTTGAATTCTTCATTTTCTTTCTTTGCTATTTTATATATCTTCTTCGGTTGTTCAGTATTTGGTTTAATAGAGCGATATTTTTTCGATAGCGGAAGCTCCGCAGTTTTCGACGTAGAATTGATTGGTATTCTAAAAATAAAATTATTATATACATTTGTCGATTGATTGAAATTAATTTGTCCAAAAACTGAAAAATAATGTGTACTAACGGCTTGTTAAATGTTGCGTCGTCTAATTCTGACATATTCATTGTAAATAACTCTTGATTGTTTTGTTGCTGATTATTTATACTTTTCAACACTTCATAATTAATCTTGGAGGATATTTTCTTTTCTTGCAGCATTTTCTCAATTGCTTCGCCTAATGAAAAGAAGAAGATTCAAATAAATAATAAATGCGTCAATACATAAAAAATAAAAAATAAAAATAAATACTTGCCAGCAGAATTTGCAGGCGTTTTGTTCTTTCTGGAAACTGTCTTTCTCCTTTTTTTTTCAGTTTTACCTTCTTCCTTGTCTTTCAAACGCTTTTCTTCTTTTTCCTTTTGTTGAACAAGATAGTCGGCGTTGACCTTATTCCAGAGAGCAGATTTAGATTGTGATTCTTTTTCCGAGAGAATATAACTGTCTAATTCCTCATCATCGATGTCGTTCGTATAAATTTCCTCGGAAAACTAACAAGAAAGTTTTCTAGTTACTTCAAAATATTCAATATACAGGGATTCATTTTAAAAAAGGGTCATAAGATGGTGTCATTGATTTTATTTGTATAATCATTTGAAGGTCACCTTCAATTTCTTAAATAAAACCTACTATTTTTTATTGCATATTTTTGTAGTTTATTTCGAGAGCTTTTTAAAAGCCTATAATAAAGTATGTCTTAAGTACTTTTTGAGTTATTAAGGTTTGAAGTTAACAACTTTTTGACATAAAATGTAAAAAAACTTTAATAACTCAAGTACTTAAGAGAAAAATATTTAATTATAAAATTTTGGAAAGCTCTCGAAATAAGTTACACAAATATGCAATGAAAAATAGTAGGTTCCATTTAAGAAATTGAAGATGACCTTTATGTGATCTTCAAATGATTATACAAGATCAAATTATAATGACACCATCTTATGTCTCCCTCAAAGTAAAAAACTTTTGTTTGAAACATTTTTTTATATCTCTCATAGTTTTTGAAATATTTGTCTGAGGCGATTAAAATTAATCCTGTATATAGTTTAAATAAAATTGTAATTTGAATTTACAACTTAAGGAAAAAAACACTTACATTTTCCAAGTTATCTTGTTCTTTCGGTTCATTTGGACGATTATTCGGAAATATCATTGATGCTATATTTGGACCTGTATACAATTGATGAAATTATAAAGAGTGACCGCAAAAACCGCCCGTTTCGTGAACATCGAGTTTTGATACGATGTTGGTGGTGATTGTATACCATCAAACATTTATCCTCTAAAAATTTCGAATTGAGACCTTTTATTGCTGAGATATGAAGGGTTGAAGTTGGTATTATTCACGAATGAAGGGTACGCCATTTTTCTCGTTTAACACAAAATACCTCGAGTTTATTCTTATATCAAAAAATATTTCAGATATGATTTGTTTATCTGTTAGAAGACTAATTTATCGTGACCTCAAATTGACGTTTAAGTCAAACTTGTAAAGGTCATTTAGAAGTCAACTTTTTCGATTTTCAGTAAAATGTTTTTTAACTAATGTCGAATACTTATTTCTGCGATCTAATTACTCACGATCTCAAATAGACCTTTAAGGAATAATTTACACGGTCAAATAAACATTTTCAGAAAAATTCAAGATGAGCGTTTTCTCGCCTCTCTGTCTGTTGGCACTCCGACAGACAGAGGCGAGAAAACGCTCATGACTTCAACCCTTCATATCTCAGCAATAAAAGGTATGCTCAATTCGAAATTTTTAGGGGATGAATGTTTGATGGTATACAATTATTTACCATCAACATCGTATCCAAATTCGATGTTCACGAAACAGGCGATTTTAAGCCTGTTTTTGCAGTCACTTTTTGTATTCTCTAATAATATAATATAAAGTACTATAATATAATTTTATATGAATGCTTACTTAATCCTGTAGTAAGTGAGCTATTACTCTCATTTACTATCGTATCTCGAAAGTTTTCATCGGGATCATCAACCTGATTCTCAACATATTGTTGGATTATGTCTATATTACTTTCGTGAATAAATCTATCTGCGTCTTCATTCTCTATAGGATCCTCTGCAGAAGATACTGTAAAAATATTTATTATAGTGTGTTGGTAAACAAACAAGATCAAAACACTAAAGACATAACATTGTGGAAAAAAAGAATATGATCCTAAAACTCAATCATTATTTGAAATCTATTTTGTATCCATTATTGTTGTTATATATATGGGCTATTCCATACCAAATCAACGACTTTTTTCCCCGACCATTTTAATTTGCTTCATTTTTTTATCTTTTTGTACCTATTGAAAGTAGCTTTCATGAATTTTTTTAGATTTTTATCTTTATTACCTACTTTCCGAGTTATATATTTTTAAAAATATATTAATTTTAAAAAATTGTTTAAATTTCAAATTATAACTAAAAGAAAAATAAATATATGGTTATTAATAAGATGGTCATTTTTTATCTTTGAATGTATTTTTCAAACAAAATATTTAAATAATTAAAAAAAGAAAATTTAATAGCGTTTTAGTCAATTTTAATTGAAATTATTTTTTTTCTCAATGAGACCCTTTCGATTTTTTTCATAAAAATATATAACATTTTAGACTTTAAAACAAAATTTTTGAGCTATTAGCGAAAAGGGGATTCCAATATTTTCGATTTTTTAAGGCTACTTTTAAAATTTTTTTTCAAAAATCGAATTTTTTTGATTGTTTACACATTATTCGATTAAAAAAATTAATATTTATAAAATTAATAAGCACTCATTTCGAAAAGTCAGGAAAAATTCCAATATTTGTAATTTTTAAAGATTTTTGCTATTTTTTCGAACATAATGTTTGTCAGTTGTTTAGGCAACTCCAATTAAGAACACTTTTAAAATAAAAGATATTAATACAATCAGACGTATTTTATTAAAAATTAGTACATGAAAACACTTTTTGTTGTTAATTTACATAGTTTAAATAATTAATAAATTTAATTAAAAATGAATTAAATAATTAAATAATTTAATTTATTAATTGTTTAAACTACGTAAATTAACAACAAAAAATGTTTCACGTACTAATATTTAATAATAGTATATTAGCTAACAAGTGCGGGAGATCGTAAATCGGCTACGATATTTTGTGTGACCGGTGCGTGGAAAGGAAGTCCTTTCTAAAATCCCATCATGTGCGTAAAGGGCGACTTTCCGCGCGCCGATTGCACAAAATACGTTTGATTGTATTAATATCTTTTATTTTAAGAGTGTTCTCCTTAATCGGAGTTGCCTAAACAACTGACAAACATTATGTTCGAAAAAATAGCAAAAATCTTTAAAAATTACAAATATTGAAATTTTTTCTGACTTTTCGAAATGAGTGCTTATTAATTTTATAAATATTAATTTTTTTAATCGAATAATGTGTAAACAATAAAAAAAAATTCGATTTTTGAAAAAAAATTTAAAAAGTGGCCTTAAAAAGTCGAAAATATTGGAATCCCCTTTTCGCTAATAGCTCAAAAATTTTGTTTTAAAGTCTAAAATGTTATATATTTTTACGAAAAAATCGAAGAGATCTCATTGAGGAAAAAAAAAAATTTCGGTTAAAATTGACTAAAACACTATTAAATTTTCTTTTTTTAATTATTTCAATATTTTGTTTGAAAAATACATTCAAAGACGAAAAAAATGACCATCTTATTAATGACACAATATATTCATTTTTCTTCAAATTATAAATATTTGAAATTTAAAAAAATTTTAATGTTAAATACAAATAAGAAAGACCTCAGAGCCATATGCGGATGTTTCTTGCGTACATCTTCAACAAAAATTAATTTTTCGTTGGAAATAAACGAAAATGTGCACAAATCACATATTATTCTTGGTTTACTAGACTTTAAATATGAAATATCTCATACTTGAGATTTAATTTCATAAACCCCTATTATCCCCTTACAGAAATAAAGAAAGAAACGTGAGAGAAAAATATAGATCCAAAAGTCGCTGAATCGAGAACCGAGACCCTTTCGCTTGCCGGGCGACTGCTCTTTCAGGCAAGCTTTTAAAAATGTTTAAAAGTCAATATTTTTAAAAATATATAACTCGGAAATTAATGAAGATAAAAATCTCAAAAAATTCATAAAAGCTACTTTCAATAGATACAAAAAGATAAAAAAATAAAGTAAATAAAAAATGATCGAGAAAAAAAGTCGTTGGTTTGATATGGAATGCTCCACATACATCGTAGTTATACATGTAACATTAATGAGAGAGATTGAGTCGACTATTTTCAAAATAAATAATAAAATATATTTAAGTTATAAAATTCGAGATTTGTATTAAATTTCAATTTTTGTCTAAAATATAAGTGAATAATTTTTATTTCTATCCATTTTTTTCCAGCAATTTGCTTAATATTATTTTGAACTCCTCCTTGGAAAATTTTGCATCATAGTTAATTAATAAAAAAATTATATTTTTTTTAGATATATGAACCACCAGTCGTAGAATAAAATTAAACAATCACACTTCTCTCGACCAATACTGGCATAAGAACTTTATTAGAAATTCTTCACAACGTTTCGACTTTCCATTTAGATCCTTTTCAAGTAATCTGTCACAAAAAGGAAAAATTATTTACACGTAATAATACATAAAGAAAAGAAACAAAAAAATTGTAGGATACTTGCGAGATATAACTAAAACTAAAATTTAATATTTTTGTGTAGTATTTAATAAATGAAATAAGCGAAATGAGAGCGCCTATACAATGTTTATTACTTGTAATATTAAATACTACACAAAAATATTAAATTTTAGTTTTAGTTATATCTCGCAAGTATCCTACAATTTTTGTTTTTTTTAATGTATTATTACGTGTACATAATTTTTCTTTTTTGTGACAGATCACTTGAAAAGGACATAAATAGATAGTCGAAACGTTGTGAAGAGTTTCTAATAAATCGATTTATGCCAGTATTGGTTGAGAGAATTGTGATTGTTAAAAAAAAATTAAGTTACAAATTATATTTTGATGTCTTTGTTAATTGATTAGTCGCCAGTAAGAATTAAATTAAACTTATTAAATTCGTGAAAAAAAACGACCAATACTGGACTACAAAAACTTTTCTTTATTTATTTAATTCATGACGTTGGTCGTTTTTTTCGCGAATTTAATAAGTTTAATTTAAAAATTATATTTTATTAATAACCACACTTTTTATGTTTGATATGTGTTTGTGGTGGTTTAAATATGAAATAGTGTCGCAAGTAAAGAAACACAACAATATATTACAATTATTATTACTCATTATTACCATATATTATATTATTGTAATAAACAGTATTTATTGGGGAGTCATTGCTTATAATTAAAAAATTTTTCAGTTGTTATTTGGCGATATAATTTATCTATTTTTGAAATATTTTATTTATTTTTTATAGCTAAATGCAAAAGAAAATAATATTTTGCAAAAATTTTTCATTTTCACTATCAATCATTCAAAATATTTTTAGCAAATATTCAAAACAATTTCTTTTTAAAAAGAATAAAAAGTGACTCTCTTCTAAAAAAAACTAATTCTATTTAATAAATTAATCTATCGTGCTAAAATAAAATTAAAAAAGCAATTTAAGGTTTTTTCACAATATTGGTAAAAATATTTCTTCGTTTTATTAATATAAAATAAAAAAAATGTCTTTCAATTTAATTTAACAGTGAATTACATTTTTATATGTAAAAATACAATCTTTTTTCTTAATTTTGGAGATTCAATATAATTAATTATCTTCTAATTAAAGTTTCAAGACAGCAAAATATTTCGAAAAATATAAGATTTATAAAAAAAAAAAAATGTTTCACAAAATTTGTAAGGTTTCGAAAGATCTATTTACTTATCAGTTTGACTTTGAATGATGCATTGCCAATATTAGGACTATGTGTCAACAATTATTTCTTTACACCAATTGATTCCTCTTATTATTTTGCGCATAAAAGTATTGAGACAAGATAAAAAATCACTATTTTATAAGATATTTAATAGTTTACATAAGATTATGCAAAATTAAAGTATGAGATATCTCAAATTATTCACTATTTGGCTATTTTATCCTTATAACTTTTTATGTCGAATATTACGAGAAATCGATTTATATAAAAAAATAAAATGGTTTTATTTAAAAAAGTCAAGCTGACCTTGGCGGCGCAAGATCAAACTGATAAAGCTAGTATATAGATCTTTTTAAATCCTATAACTTTTGTCTGAAACATTTTTATACATTTTTCGAAATATTTTGTCGGAACTTTTTATATATCCTATCTAATTTTGAAGAAGAGTCAAAAAAGGACCAAAATATTCAATTAATTTTATGAAGAATTTTTTAAATGTGTAATATTCGATTTGTACCTCAGTTATCACGCTTTGATTTTGATTTGCCATTTTATTCTTTTTCTTTTAAATATTATCACCTTATATATTTATAATTATTATATACAAATTATATCTCTAAATAAAAAAATAAATTTTTCTATTGTATTTATAAAAAATGTGTAAAAATATAATTACCATTCTTCTTGCGTTTCTTTGTTTTCCCTGCTCTATAATCTTCCAATTGTCTATCAATTTCTGCTTGCAAGTCGCTTATTTCTTCGTCTATGTTTTGTAACTAAAAAGACACACATTTTTATAGAGAAAAATATTTTATATAAGATTTTCTTGCGGACATTAAATAAATTATTTCATATTTTGCTGACTTTCGTATTTAATATTTTTTTCAGTCTTTTTTGCAGAATATTTTGCCATCTTGAGTTTTTTTTACTTCACCGCATATTAAAAACATTGTCGATATAGTAGATTTAAAATTCTCTCTTGCGGATTTCTAAGTAAGAAAGTAAAGAAATATAATTAAAAAAGGCAATATACCCCTTGTAAACGTTCTCTATCCTTTTTACGTGCTGCTTTAAATGCTGGAGGATCTTCCTCTTCTAAGTCTACCGTCTCAAATTCATCCAAAGTCAAAGCACTGGATGGTGTATCGCCAAATTCCATTAATCTTGTAAGAGAAAAATTTATTGTGTGTGCTACTATACAGACATGACAAATAAATATATTTATATAAAATATATTTTACCTTTTACGCAAAGTAGATTCATGTACCTTGACAATTTTTATAATGTCAGTAGGTGATCTGTTAAATTCGTGCAATCGCGCAGCAATCAGTAAAGCTGTAATGGAATAAAAAATATATATATGTATATATTTGAAAATTAATTCGGGGTTAAATTGATATCATTAAATAAATTATTTCATATTTTGCTGACTTTCGTATTAGTATTTTTTTCAAAGTCTTTTGTTGCAGAATATTTTGCCATCTTGAGTTTTTTTACTTCACCGCATATTAAAAACATTGTCGATATAATAGATTTAAAAAAAAATTTTTCTACCTGCACCACATAGACCTGATGGTCTACGACCAATATGAATACTGTCCTTGTTCATTCTTTGAAGTATTCTGGTGGCTGTCCTACCTACGGCATCAGTTTTATCGCCAAATTCAAGTTTTTGTGCAAACTTCTCGATGTATAAACAAGGATCTGCACAGGAAGAAACAAAAATACATTTTGCATATATTTGTATTCTTTTCTTTATTTTAGATCACGAAGTGAATAATTTTAAATTTATATTTAGGTAAATAATACACATTAGAGGACTCCAATTTCCAATGACCTTAACAATACATGTCAAGGTCATGAGCCTGAGTAACCTAAAAGATTTTAGCCCTCGATTATTTAATAAGTTATTAATAATCCTCCTCGATTATTTAAAAAATTTTATTAATAATTAAATTGTACGATAAGAACAAGTATTAAATACAATATTCTGAACTTGTCTGAGTATGAATTTTATTTTATTTGCATATTTAAGTATTTAAAGCTCTTTGGTCCTCACTGCGGCCATGTTAAATTATGATGCCAGAGGCGAGAAAATACCCGTTGAAAATTTTTGCGTATCCTTTTTAAATAAAGATATTTTGATGAAGCATAACTTTAGATGACTTTAGTACATTTTAAAAATATTTTTAAAATATTCCGAAAATTAACCATTTCCCTTTAATAAATCAACAGCTGTAAAAATGACTGTGATATGAGGTCTGATCCGTATATATTCTTACACATGTCATTCCGCATGACAAAGTCTGATGTTTCAATTATTTATTAGGTTGTTGCTTGACTGTCAAGGAAGTTTTAAGTAAATGTGTAAGCAGGGAAGGAGTTCCACCTTTGTACTTTCTCAGAGAAAGTAATCCAAATTTAATTTTTATTCAAAAATAAAAATTGATCAGACTAGATGTAATAGCAATTTTTCAGGGTAGAAAACCATGCAAAAACCTCATGCATCTATACGGATAGAACAGTTGAGAGTGTGATAGATTTCGGATACGCAATAACAGTTGAAATGATCGAGTTCTTATTACGCTCAATCAATAGATCGAGTTGAATTATATAAGAAAAGTAGCTTCATTTTTGTTCTATGTGCTTTTAAACATACTAGATAACACAAGCGCGCGCTTCGCGCGCGCCGAACAAATTTTTACTCCGCGAATGTACATAATTTTAATTTGCCGAATTTCAATTATATACATAACTCTAATTTCCGAATTTCTATTATACATATACATAATTTTAATTTGCTGAATTTTTATTATGAACATAATTTTATTTCGCCGTATTTCTTTTATATAAATAATTTTAATTTTTGATTTTCAATTATGTTCATAATTTTAATTCTTGAATTTCTATTATGCACATACTTTTATTTGGCCGCATTTCTATTATGTAAATAACTGAAATTGTATCTAATAGAAATTCGGCCAGTTGAATTTATGTACACAATAAAAATTTGACGAATTGAAATTATAACGCATAATAGAAATTCAAGAATACTTATGTATATTTGTACATAGTAGAAATTCGACGAATCAAAATTTATAACATAATAGAAACTCAAGAATTAAAATTAGGTACACAATGAAAATTCAAGAATAAAATTATGTACATATAGAAAAAAATTCAGCGAATTAAAATTATTTACATAAAAGAAATACGACAAATTAAAATTATACACATAATAGAAAAAAATTGGGCAAATTAAAATTATTTAGATAAAAGAAATACGATGAATCAAAATTAAGTACTTAATAGAAATTAAAAATTCAATAAATTAAAATAATGTACATAATAGAAATTTGGGAATTTAAATTATGTAATAAAAATTCGGAAATTAAAATTATGTACATAATAGAAATTCGACAAATTAAAATTATGAACATAATAGAAATTCATTAATAAAAATTGTGTACATAATAAGAAATAAGAGAATTAAAATTATGTACGTAATAGAAATTCGGTGAATTAAAATTATGTACATTACGGAAATTCAGCGAATTAAAATTATGTACATAGTGAAAATATAGAATTAAAATTATGTACATAATAAAATTTCGGCGAATTAAAATAAAAATAACGCTTTCCTGTCGCGATAACCCACAACGGTGCAAAAAAATAATTATTATATATATTATTTATTGTCTTTACATGAGTAAAACATTTGATCTTTGTAATTCATTATTAGGCATATTAAGCCTTATATTTTAATCATTATCGATTTTTTTTATTTTATAAAATTCCTTTATTCCAAATTACTTTTTTTTCATTTACAGTTAGAATTCTCCTTTACACAGCTTTATAAACAAAAGATAAACAAAAAAAAACAGAATAACATTTTCAGTCTGCACATTTATGCTATTAATATAAAAATATTAGTCAAGGAAAATATTTAGTCTTTAAAAAATAATCCTAAAATAAAGCAATCAACTGATATAATACATAAAATTGGGTATCTAATCATCATATAAATTATGAAGTTCTGCAAGTATTTTACCTGACAAGCAAGCTTTTGTATCGTCAAATTCAGAATGCAAACTATCGTTATTTGATTGTAACAACTAAAACGTTTAATATTAGATGTTAGCAAACAGCTCATACGTGATTTTAAAGCCAGGTATTCCCTCAAAGGTCTCTCTACTTTCTTGTCAGTGCATTTATTCAACACAGGAGTATATTTTTTAACTGATATAATTTTTGTGCTAGACTTTATATTAGTGATATCCAACTTATTTTCTAAATGCACGAAACTATCATTTTCCTTATTACACTTGAAAGAAAGATCGATTTGACATGGTGACTGAATTCCAGAATTATACTTTCCATCTCTTTCTACAAGTTTCGTTAAATTAGTATCAAGCGTTTTATAAACTTCTTTCGGAATATAACTGTCTTCAGTATTAATATTATTGTTAATCGTACATAGCGATTTTGTGTTTGTATCATTCATTTTATTTCTATATTATTATTTAAATTTTCAATCATTACTCCTTCAAAATATTGTTATCAGTATTACTGTTATCAATTTCCTTTGTTGTTATATTTAACATATATAATATGTCTGTAATACTAATAAATATTGATTTCAAATTCGGTATTACAATATATTTTACAATAGAAATATGTACATAATCTAAATTAACTGAATTTCTATATATGTATACATAATTTTAATTCACCGAATTTTTACTTCCCTTTCTAATTGAGAAACTAATCCAAACCACTCAATCACAAAATTAATAAACACTTATTTATCAGATTTTAACTATTATATACCAAATCTTTTAATATACATTACTACACTAACCCCTCGATACATACAACTGTCAAAATATGCAATGACAGCGGCTCACGAAGTAAACGCAACGATAAAACCAATCGGCATCGCGGATTAAAGACAACAATACACTTCGAGACTTTCGAGACTTCAATAAATAAATAACATGCTTTTTTTAGAAATGGAAACAGAAATATAATGATGCAAAAGTCTCAATATAAAAAATTTCTTTAAGGAGGTTTTACCGTCACTTTCTGAGGGAGTGGTGCAAGAAAAATATTTATGCTGATTGGCTTATACACATAAATTTTGTAATGCAAACTCGCATAAAATTTTAATTTAAATAAATTCAAATTATTTGTATATTATTTAGTTTTGATATGTATAAGTATATAAAACATTTATTTAACAAAATATAGTGATTTGATAAAAGATAAACATTTATAAATAATTTTAATTACTAAAAGAAGTAAATAAAAACGTAGCAATAGCGCGTCAATATTTTAAGTTGTTTACGACTGCTCGTGTCTTGTCAAATGTTAATTTCAAACATAAGATATAAATCCGTTCAGATTTAAAAGACGATTTATTAATAAGAAGCAACATAATAAACGTCTAAAAGCCATTGAACATGAAAAATGTTTGAAATTAAAAAAAAAGTGCAAAATGTCAACATTTTTAAGATTGTATGCCAAAAATCGATATTTTGTAATAAATTACATATAATAATTTTAAACAATGTTTAGGCCTGTTGGAGAGGTTTAATATAATTTTAATTAATTAATATGATTAGCAAAAACATTTCGTTTGCACACAGTACGTTTGTGGACAGTTCTTTTGCGCATAGTTCTTTGCTTACGGTTCTTTTGCGCATAGAGGATCGATTATGTATTTTTAAAAGAGTGAAAATAAACAAGAACAATGTCAAAAAACCCCGATTTTTGCCTCGGAAATGGATAAAACCTATTCCATACATTTTCCACACATAAATATAAACCAAAAATGTACCTAAGACCGCGAAGAATTCTGGGGAAATTTTTGGCAAGCTGTTTGACTTGTTATACGATGTTAAAACGAGATCATTTTTCAATTTTTGACCTTGATCGAACGAGGAAGTTAATTATCTTCCCGAATTCTCACAGCTTAAAAGTCTAAAATAATCTGTAATGATGAATGGAAAGTATTTGAAGGTGTGTGCGTGCGTGCGTGCCTCCTACATACTTTTTCTGCAAGTGAGATATTCAAAAGTATAGGTAATATCATTATATTACTATGTTATCAATAGTGTCGAAAGATCACGTCAAAGATCGTCGCTTAATCGTTAATGTCGCTAAGATCTCGTTAATGTCGCTTCAGGATTCCTTCAGTTTTGACCATTTTATCCTAATCGCACTATCTATATGGGGAATATGATAAACCTAAAGCTAAAAACTGAACCTTCAAACATCTTCTATTCATCATAGATTATTTTAGGCTTTTAAACTGCAAGAATCTCAATTCAGTGCGTTTTGATCAATGTTAAAAACTGAAAAGTGGTCCCGTTTTAACACCTTATTTAGCAAGTCAAACAGCTTGCCAAAAGTTTTTCCCAGAGTTCTCCACGGCCTTAGGTGCATTTTTGGTTTGTATTTATGTGTAAAAACATATGGAATAAGTTTTATCCATTTCCCGAGAGGCAAAAAATCGGGGTTTTTTAACATTGTCCTTTGTTACTTTTCGTATTTTTACTTTTTTAAATATACACAATCGACTGCCAGTTCTTTTGCTCACGGTTCTTTCGCGCATAATTCTTTGCCCACGGTTCTTTGGCGCACAGTTCTTTTGCCCACATTTCTTTGCGCACAGTTCTTGGATAAACTTCCGAAACTCGTCTTTGGCTCGTGCGCTTACCCGCACTCGTGACCAAT